CCCTCCTCCTTGGCAACCACCTGTCGGCTTCCTCCTCCCCCTCGCGCTCAGAACAGCCTAACCAGCGCCCGGGAATGCGTGGCCCCGCTGCCCCTTGACACCCTGCGGGGCCACGGACGCCCAGTCGGTGCTCGCAGCCTCCCCCACCACGCCGCTCCCCCTCCGTCAGGGCGCCTTAACGACCCAGTGACAGCTCAGTCCAGCCTTGGGTCAGGCAACCCCAGCTGAGAAGTCCCTCGACGGCAGGGCGGCCGCTGCTAAGGGGTGATTAGAACCGCCCGAAATTTATCCGACGGGGCCTTCCTCTCTCGAGAACCCCGCTGCCCCCCCCCCGGCTCCGCACACCCTGGACGCGTTCTGCGTAGACCTGGCTCCTAATTGCCCAGCCAGGGCTCCGTTCCTCCCTGAGAGCTGCTCTCCCTTCCCCTCCCCTCCCCTCCCCTCCCCAGCCCTCGGCGCTCAGCCAGACCCGCCCTCACGCNCGGCCAGTTCGAGCTTCTCCTGCGCCTCCTTGACGGCCTCCGAGTATTTCTCCACCTCATCTTCGGTTCCCTTCAGCTTCTTCTGCAGGCCCTGCTGCTCTTCCTCCAGCTATGGGGTGTGGGCGGAGGTAGAGGTTAGTGGGGCCCGCTGCTCATCGGGGCGCTCGCGGGGGGGGGAGAAGGGAGGAGTCGAAACCCAGGGCGGCGACAAGTTTATTTGGGAGATGACCGCTCCTAGCCTCCCGCAAAAGGCGGGTTCTGGGAACGGTGGGCCAAGAAAAATAAGCTCCGAGGATGTCCGGGGAATGGGTGAGAGCTGGGTCGGGGGTGGGGGGTCGGGGCCGGAGAAGAAGAGCCGCGTCCAGCCAGGCTGGTTACGGGACTGTGCTGGTAAGGGCCGAAGTTGGCCTCGCAGACTTCCCCCTCCCCCGCCCTCAACCCTACCGAGCAGCTCCGAGCCCCTGCCTCTGGGAGGACAAGCTCTCCTGGCAGGGCCCCTCCCGACCTCCTCCCCGGGACCCTCTACGGCGGGCTGCCTGGCTCCGTGGCCCCGAGAGGGGGGCGCTCGAGGCCCTCGAACTCGGCGGCTGTTTGTCCGCTCAGCGAGCGAGCCCAGCGACGGGGTCCTCCGGGGCTGCGGGGCTCACCTGCTTGCATCGGTCCTCGGCCTGCTTCTTGTCTCCCTCGGCTTGCTCGGCTCGGTCGATGGCGTTCTCCTTGTCGAGCTTCAGCATCTGCATCTTCTTCTTGATGGCTTCCATGGCTGCGGCTGGAGCGGGCGAGACCCGACGGAGCGGACGGTCGGAAACGAGCGAGCGCGCAGGAGAGGAGGCGAGCGCAGCCGGGGG